ATTGATTAGGTGTTGAGTTTGGATGAGCTGAGGTTCCGAGGTTGTATCCGTAGATGAGACAAGGAAAGACTGAGGAAGATCTGGACTGAAGTTGAGATTTTGGCGGCTTTTATACTTGAGATCTGACAGCCGATTAGGTTTGACAGGATGATGACTAAGGTTTGACATGTGGTTTGATATTGGCTGCGGAGATGGTTTGCGCAGTTGATGCAACAAGTTGCAATTCAATGTTCTTCATTGATTTCACAGATTTGAGTTGATGACACGTCAAGTTTCAACAGACTCATCAACAAGGAAGTCCTTCCAGTCAATGAGGTGTAGCTTCCTCATCAATTGGAAGGGCCGGAAAATGAGGTACAGCTACCTCATTGAATAGAAGGAATTATTTCTGGTTAGTGAGGTACAGATATCTTGTTGACTGGAAGGAATCTCTTACAGCCAATGCAGTATAACTTACTCATTGATTGGAAGGGAGTCCTTCCAGTCAATGAGTTACAGTTGCCTCATCAAACTCCCTTCCGGTCAATGAGGCAGCTGTAACTCATTGACTAGAAGAAATCCCTTCTGTTTGATGAGGTAGCAGTACATCATTGACTGGAAGGAATCCATTCCAGTTGATGAGGTAGCTGTACCTCATCAACAGGAAGTTCTCCCTTCCAGTGGATCCAGTATAGCTTCCTCATTGAACGCAAGGGATTCTTTCCATTCAATGAGGTAGCTGTACCTTGGATGGGATTCCTTCCATTTGATGAGGTAGCTGTACAGCCCCTTGACAGAAAAAATGGAACCCCTTAATTGGAGTCCCAAGGGCAAACCAATGGACTTCAATTGATGCTTCCTGGTGAAACTGTGGAAAATAAGTTCTAAAGAATGATTCTGACAAATTGGATAGGAAATTATTTCGTAAAAATTTTGTGTATTTTTCCCCATTTTCTGATTTTTTTTGGTATTTTTCAATCATTTTTCAAATTGGCTCAGAAAATCATGATCAACACAATTGCATGTGAAAAGAATGATTATAAATGAAAAATTAAAAAAAAAATTGATCAACAGCTTTTTTAAGCATGTTTTGATTGTGTCATCCACCAGACCAACCCTCCAATCAGGCACTGAAATTGAATTCAATTTCATCCTCAATCCAACTTCTTCAGCTCTCTAAACTTTTGATCATTGATTTTTCTCAATTTTTCATTTATAATCATTCTTTCCACATGCAATTGTGATGCTCCTGAATTTTTGAGCTAATGTGAAAAATGATTGAAAAATTTCAAAAAAATCAGAAAATGAGGAAAAATATAAAAAACAAATTACAAAACATTCTCCTATCCAATATGTCAGAATCATTCTTTAGAACTCATTTTAAACATTTTCACCAGGAAGCATAAATTCAAGTCCATTGGTTTGCCCTCTAGACTCCAATCAAAGGGTTCCATTTTTTCTGTCAAGGGGCTGTACATCATTGACTGGAAAGAATCCTTTCTGATTGATGAGGTACAGCTGCCTCACTGACCAGAAGGGGTTCCTTCTGGTCAAGTGGGTGCAATTCCCAAACCCCCCACCCCATGCATGAGGGGTGGTTTGGGGAGCCAACTCCTGAAAACAAAATGGAAGGACAACTCCCAGAATCAGCCCTGGAGTTGAAAGACAACTCCCAACAGACCTCTGCCAATGGTTGTTGGGAGTTGTCAGCTAAAAAAAATGGGAGTCATTTTTCTAAGCCCCTAATTTTTAAAAAGGGCAGCACTTGTTGGAACCGGCTCCGCTATCTTGACTAGCTTCAATCACATCAACATTGTGATGGTTGGACAGATTTCAGGGCCAAGGCCAACCATTGAACTACAGAGACTTTGTCTCACCATGGACAATTAGATGTCACTGCCAGTTGATTTGCGACCTCCGTAGTGACTGCGGCCACCAGTTGTGGATGACAAAGCAGACTGCAGCAACACCCAATTGACTGTGGTGTCTCTGGTTTTGATATTGGAAGTTTAGTCTGCTGGAGGAAGCCAGCTCTGGCTGCCCTGGCACCATTTTCTTTGGTTTGGAACCAAAGAGTTTGATTGACAACTAAGACAGATTGAGATGCTGTTTCAAGAATAAACAACCATTGACTTTGTAAAATTGTGGGTTGATCTCAAGATGGAGTGGCTAATTGGTCCATCTCCCACCTACACCCAGAACTTGAAATTAGTAACAAACAAAATGGATGAAACCCTCATCATTCAGGTCCTAAACTTTTCAGGAAATTGTGTTTGCCCTCTTTGAGAGCTTGGTTTCAACACTGTATTTCATCTGGTGAAAGAAGGATTAAGAGATCCAAAAGGGTTGTCTGGTAGCTTATTGCCAGCATCAAAATTGGGTGCTGCCGCCTGTCTTACCAACTTCACCAAGCAAAACCGCATTTTCCTCACCTGAAAACTTCAAGGAAAAATGTGACATTGATGTTAACTTTACTCCCTGTTGAACTACAATGTAACTGATAGAGATTATTTGAAAATAATTTATTCATTTTCAGCTGACAGAAGATACTTCTTTTGACTAGGTTCACCAGTGATGAATCTGTCCTTAGTTGTTCCAGTACATCCCTGGCTTTGTCCACTCTTTACCTACCCTCATTCACCTTTTGGTCAGACAGGGCAGATTTGAAAAGATACCAGTTTATTGTTGAGCAAAGAGAAAGAGCAATCGACATGCTGAGTGATAAAGGAAAGCGATCTAATTGACAAAAGTGAAAAAAACGAGCACAAAAGTATCGTTTGAGTTTTTTGGGGGAGGTGGTGGATTTGGAAGGACATAGCAATTGAGGTATGAGGATATCTAGTAACGTTGCTCGCCAGTTATACTAAAAAAAGAAACCTGGAAAACAAATGTTGAAGTTGGTTCTTAAAATTACTACTAAGATGATTCTCGATCGACGCAAGTTGACAAATTTTCTCAATGTAGAAAAAAACGGGGGAACAAGATTTTTCGAGTATGCAAGGGATTGAGTTTTCTAAGCGGCAGTGGAAACCATTTTTTGATTTCCTTTAAGATTTGAAGAAGATTCCACGGAAGAAAGGCCTTGTTCCACTACTCGAATAAGATGCTCGATCGAATTACCCCACCCTTTTAATTTTGTTTCAAGGTTGGCCCACTGAGGTGTTCCAAATGATCGATGGCTGGCTTTGGTCACATAGATCACATGGCTCGGTTGATGAAGTCTGGCAGCTATCAAATTCGCCTTGATAGCTGAAACACAAGTAGAAGGACAATGCAATGTTTGTCTTAGTTTCAACTGCGGTCGTCTGGACAAAAGCTGGTCCAACTTCGATCTTGGATACAGCATAAGAAAAAAAAAGAAAGAAAGGGTAGATGAGTGCTCACCATTGATGACCCATTCTTCGACCTCCATGCCATCGTCTTCTTCGATCGACACAGCCAATCCCAAGCATTCCTTGACCTCGGAGTATTTTACCTCTCCTCCGACACGATTCCCGCATAAATCGGTGAGAGTCAACAGTCGAGCTTTCCTTTGGACCCAGCTCTTGGTATCTTCCGACAAGGCACTTTTGAGGTTCGAATTTGATGTGAGCTCTTGTTCGATCTGATCAAACTTGGTCGACGGCGACTTTAACAAGCTGATCAACTTCAAGTATGTAGTTTCGCCCTCTGGATTGGAGTTGAGGTATTGAGAGATCGGCACGATATCTTCCAACAAGTCCCAATCATAACAGTTTGGTAAGGTCAACGAGAGCTTGACCGCTTGAGCCGAAACCCGATCGACATCGGGACACCTTTTCTCATTCGATAAGGCCGGGGAGGATAGGTAGAGAATGCTGAGGTTAAACGCATCCTCAAGCTTGCCTCCTTGTTCACAAAGTCGGATCACTTTCTCGATCGTAGCTACGCCCACTGGGGAGCCAAGTAAGTTCCACTGAGTGAGGTAGGACGGCAAGCGTAGTAAGGAGGGTAGTAGTATGACTAGGTCCTCGGGGTGGGAAGCGGCCATATCAGCCAATCGAGAGAGAATGGTCAATTGTAAAGGTACAGAGTTGTCCGTGGGTGCTGTTGGAGCTGGTAGGGCATTGAAGAGTGTAAACAACCTGGTTATAGTATTGTTGGAAAGGCTCATTAGTGGTGCAAAAAGTGGCAAAGAACCGGATGATCATCGTCGTTCAACGCACGCAGTATATCTCCCGTAAGCCGTAGTTTTTCCCTCAGCAGTTACGATGGCCTCCAGAAGCTGGGATACGAATTGGGGAAACTTGTTGTGATTTGACAAGAAAGAAAGCATGAGGGTCAGGAGCAGGTTGGTAGCTGCCTCGAGTTCTGATATTTCAAAACAGAAAGATGACATATATTTAGATTTTTTTGGTCACAACACAGTAGGGTGAAATTCAGGAGGGAATGATGAAATGATCGAGCAAAACAACTGACCCCGATCATCGGTTCTGACAAAGCAAGAAGGTTGCAGTTTGGACCATAATTCTTCGACAATTTTCCTCTTGGCCTCTTTAGTCTCTTCAGTTTCATGTTCCCGATTCTCGACGGCCTCATCATTCGCCATTTGATCAGCATCTTCACTGTCCCCCTTCTCAGTCGGCCCGGCGTGTTCACCGCTGATCGCTTCGGCAGCCTCTTTCATCCGCAAGGCGAATTCGCTAGGTTGGTGAGACGATTTGGTTCCGGTTGTAGGATTCGCTTGAGAAGGTGCACCCTTGGTCATCAAGGCAGAGGCTTCAAAGACCATGTCGGGAAACGATGGCTGAACCAAGACCGCCCAGATCGATCCCTGGCTGATGGTATTCGTATTGGCTGACGCCAGAAACGGAGACTCGGCCATGATGGATTGGTAGATGGTTTTCGAGGGTGACTTGGATAAATCCGAACAAGTGTTCTAGTCCTTGGGGTTGAGTTTTCTCGGTTTTCGAAGCAGCGAGAGCGAAGTGGGTGGTTCCTCCCTGTTGACCGTCCCGGGTTTTTTGTGGAAGGCTTGACCAGTTGGGGGTTAAGCCCTGGAGGCCGAGCCCCCCTCGCAGTCGCACCCCTGCCGCTTGGCCCATCTTGCATCCATTCTTCCACGTGATGGATATCTCTCGAGCAGCATGCACATTTAAATAATGTCATCTCCTCTTCACCCTTATACACTCAGTTTCCTCCCCCCCCTTGAGAAATTGTAGTGAACAAAGTTGCCCAAGATTAGACAAGAATTTGGGCAGTTTCTGGTAATGTGGGTGTAATAACTTGAAGACCTTGATATGCATCATGAACCCAAGAAGTAGCCACAATTATTTAAGGGAAGATTCTGACTTGATTGCTTATGAACAGTTGCAAAAATAAAATTCCTGTTCGGGGGAGGATGCAGAATGATGAATTGGATTGTGAGAAAGGTTTGATGGTGGATTTGAAAACCAATAGACAATCACATGAAGATTGTTTTCTGCTATCATGTTCTAATTTTATGGCTGTAAAATCTGCAAAATAAAACGAACATTGACTCAGTTCATGAAATATTTTATGCTGGAGTAGCTACATAGATAATGACCACACTACATAGAGCCTAGAGGCTTGGGAAGAAAATGTCTACAGTTGAGGATTTCTGCTGATCCATTTATATAATTTAGCAGCTCACCTATCGTTGGATATTGGAGGTCTTTCAAACTAAGTCATATACAACTGGTACCACAATGTGATCACTTGGTAAACTCTATGGTTTTTGAAAACCCATGAGATCTAAGTCTTGCACACTATGTCAATTGGTTACATTTCTTCATCTGCTCATCAGCCAATATTTGCAGGTTGGGATGGAACTTGAGGCTTTGGCTTTTTTTTTGTACTCAGGAAACAAATTATCTAGACTGTACTCCATATTTATCCAGTAGATTATTATTCAGGAAGCTATATGGAGCCTAGTAGAGGCTTCTTATAAAGATTTTTTTTGTAAGAATCAATCATGTTTACAATAACATGGAAGTAGAGATCGTTTGTTCGGACCTGGGTACCTGTTTATACCTAGGTACCTGTTCATTTTTTCAAGAAAATAGATACCATGTACCACACCAGACACCTCCCAGGGGGTACCCAAGGTACCCGTTGCAGGTACCTCAGGTACCCCCCCTCTCTTTTTCACCTAGTTTCACTCCCAGAGTCCCAAGTCACTTTATTATTATTATTATTTTTTCATATTTATTGTAAAATATCACTCACAATTCACTTTTTTGGCATTTCTTAATATCTGTTGTAATATATCTACATCTAATTGGAAGAATCTTACTTTTCTATTTTTTTCATATTTATTGTAAAACATCAGTCCCAGATCACTTTTTTCATTTGTTCATATTTAATAATTTATTGAAAAGTTGAAACTATCTAAAACTTATAACTAATTGGAAGAATCTTCATTGTCATCCAAAACCATCACCATCCTTTTTGATTTTTTGTTAGACTTCTTGTTATCCTTGAGTCCCTGTTTCCATGCATCCAAGGTACCTTCTTGGATCTTGGAGTTCTTGGAGTAGAAGGCCACCATCATTTTGATTTTTGGTAGGGAAGTGAGGGGGTACCTGTAGAGGTACCTAGGTACCTGTTCAATTTTTCACAAAAATAGGTACCAAGTACCGCACCTGGCACCTCCTGGCAGGTGCGGGGCGGGTGCAAGGGGTACCCCACAGGAGGTACCAGGTACCTGCAAAAAGTACGGACAAACGATCTCTACATGGAAGAGCATTGCAATCCATCAGGGTTTTTTTAAACATTAATTTTGAAGTTCTAACTTCATGTTATGTTCTTTCAAATGTTCATTCTTCCCGTACTGTCATCCAAATGCAGCAATTGACTCATTTATGGAATGAACATGGCAAAGTTGGAAACTGGGCAGGGGTTATTGCAGGAAGCTCTGTGTAAGTTGTAACTGCAATTGTAGGCTCAGGGAGTGCGTGTTGTAATATATCTACATCTAATTGGAAGAATCTTACTTTTCTATTTTTTTCATACTTATTGTAAAACATCAGTCCCAGATCACTTTTTTCATTTGTTCATATTTAATAATTTATTGAAAAGTTGAAACTATCTAAAACTTATAACTAATTGGAAGAATCTTCATTGTCATCCAAAACCATCACCATCCTTTTTGATTTTTTGTTAGACTTCTTGTTATCCTTGAGTCCCTGTTTCCATGCATCCAAGGTACCTTCTTGGATCTTGGAGTTCTTGGAGTAGAAGGCCACCATCATTTTGATTTTTGGTAGGGAAGTGAGGGGGTACCTGTAGAGGTACCTAGGTACCTGTTCAATTTTTCACAAAAATAGGTACCAAGTACCGCACCTGGCACCTCCTGGCAGGTGCGGGGCGGGTGCAAGGGGTACCCCACAGGAGGTACCAGGTACCTGCAAAAAGTACGGACAAACGATCTCTACATGGAAGAGCATTGCAATCCATCAGGGTTTTTTTAAACATTAATTTTGAAGTTCTAACTTCATGTTATGTTCTTTCAAATGTTCATTCTTCCCGTACTGTCATCCAAATGCAGCAATTGACTCATTTATGGAATGAACATGGCAAAGTTGGAAACTGGGCAGGGGTTATTGCAGGAAGCTCTGTGTAAGTTGTAACTGCAATTGTAGGCTCAGGGAGTGCGTGATGTTATGTTTTTCTGTCCTAATGTCATTTGCATTTTAGAAGGAAACTTGAAAGTCCTGCTCACGTACAAAACAGGAAATTGTAGATTCAAAGAAGGAGAATAATTTAGACATCATACATGAGAGGAAGCTGCGAACAATGTTTGAGTTTGTGAAGAAAGATCCTCCTCAGCAAGTTTCCCATCACTAGTGAAAGTCGGGATTGGGTACCCCTTCAAATATGCACCAATCCAAGAAAGAAGCTAACGGAGTGACCGACTGCAATTTCCAACCAGACGAGTTGAAAATTTCTTCAAAATCTTCTTTGCTACGCTCTTCAGAATTGAAAAGAGTGAGCATGCAAAGGTTCAAGCTGTGGGCCAAGGATGAAGACATTCCTCCATTCGAGAGGATTGGAGAATTCGAGTCAACCAGCCCAGGCACAAGACCAGTCTCGCAAATTAACAATCGCGTCGTCGGCTTCGCACTGCGTCGTAAACGGGTCAAAATCTGGACGCAGGACGTGAAGCTAAGGCGTTGATCGACGATTATATGACCCCACATTCCCAGAGTTACTCTCAGCTATTTGTCGATAAACTCGATCAATATGGCTTGTAAGATTACTCACGGCCAATCATGTAAGACTCGTCGAAGGAAATAAGCATCTGTCTTCCCAACACGATGCGCTGGTTGGTCACTGAAGAAGTCTGATTCCTCGAATTCGATGTCGGCTGAAGAGCACTTTTTTTGATAATTCTGACGGCGGGAAATGCAGAGAGTAGTATGGCAAGTTAGCGCTCAACTGGAATTCGTATCAGCTCTTGAGTTGGACATACTTCTTTTCCGTGCTTCACCACTTCAGGTCGATCCTGTACCACGATCTTCCATTTAGGAAGATATGTGGAAATATCATACGCAGCTCCACCGATCCCACCTCCCACATCAACCAGGACACCGTTCGATCCGAGTTTTTCCCAATGGAATGGTTTGTAATCTGCCGCCCCAGTGCTTGTGGCCCGGGCCATTTCGATCTATATAATGATGGTCAGTTCGGTCAATATCACGAGGCAGCATTAAATTGGTGGTTTCATCTTGGAAAAAAAAACTGCTTCATACTCACCATGCTTTTCCCAAACATTTCGGCCTTCAAACCGTTGTCCGATTTTTCCAAGAATTCGAAGAATCCACAATCGGGCTTATAATACTTTTGAAATGCAGTCTGAGAGGGATCCCAACTTGTGGCCCCACCCCCTTGGGAGTCCAAAAAGACAGCCGGAAGCTCGCTCAACGCCGGCAAGGCGATGTTTTCTCTGTTCGTCTTGAGGTAATACCATTGGCTATTTGGCGAATCAGTGCGCAGAGGAAAAGAGGATCGAGTGTTGTCCCAATGATTGGGAGTCACTTCGCAGAATACATTGCGCAAGGCCAAGAAGCGGAGGGTGTGGGTTAATTTACGGGGGTCCATCCCTGCCTTCTTGGCTAGCAGTTCGACATGGACGCCTCCTTTGCTTGATTCAGGATCGATCGAATGAATCAAGTCTGCGATCCGTCCTTCCACAGCGATGCCTATTGCGACGGTCTGCAGATAAGAATGCTGGAGCTCTTGAACTTGTAAACCGACGGGCATTAAAGTAGCGAGTAACTGGTGTGTGGCAGCTTTCAAGGTTCGGATGGCATCTCTGCGTTGCGCCGTCAAGGGCAAGTTCTCTTCAGGAGCAACTTGAGGCAGGTTCACGTCGGCTGGTGTGCCACCTGGGATCCGGACGGAAATATCTTCTTCAATGTCTTGGACTGCTTTCGCGATGAGCTTCACAAGCTGCTGTGCTGCTGATTCCGGCATGTTGAGGATGAGGGCAAATGAGAAATTTCGACTCTAAAATGTAAGATGTGGGTCAAAAGGACTTGATGTTGTAGCAAACGGTGAATTTATTGGATGGAGAGCGCAACCCGAGGCCCATTGTAGAAGATGGCCGAACACAAGACAGATATTTGACGGAGGACATTGTTGACAAATGTGAATTCCTGGTTGTCGGCGCCAAGACCTGCCAAGGCCATGTGCGCCTTCCTCGGAAGCCTCGGAATTCTCCGATACAATGTTTAATACGCTTAAACACAAGTCCCATCACATGTCGGCAGGCAGGAGCGCTGAATTTCAGATTGCGTCAATGAGGAAGATTTCCTTGGATCTTTCTCTTCTTTCTTGCGGTTATAGCCCTCTTCATTCGAAGATACCAAACAAAACGCCGATTTCTTTCTGGTGTGTCCGCTGAGAGGATTTTTTTTGCCTACTCAAAGTTCATGGCTTATAACAGGATTGTCCTAAATTTATAATAAAGTCCCTCCGTGCGGCTTGCCTGAAGCTTTGCCGGCGGGACTTATGCCCAATCAGGAAGTCTTGCATGACAATGTTTTCTGAGTTTTGGTGGCGCTCAACGTTGAGCATCTAATACCCAACCTATAGGGTGAGGACGAGGTAGCCATTCAAAACTTTAACACCGGATTGGCCAACATGTGTTCTTTTGGGAACACACTTGTGCTCGGGATGGTGTGCGCTGGCACTGCTTATATTAAGCTAAGTCTCCTTGATTGTGAGTTGAATTTTCATGATTGTAAGTTGAATTTTCATGATTGTGAGTCAAGATATTTGTGTCTTCAGACTACATACATGGTGCAAAGCATGAAAGGTTTTTGAAGTCATGATTGGATTCTATTCCAACATTTACAAGCTTAGCTTTGTTTATCATCATGGCCCAGGAATTTGTTTCCTTCCCCTTGTTTATCTATGTATGTGACTGAAGATAAGCTTATAAAATCATCTTTCCCTTGAAGATCCATGGTTATGCTCGTTGAGAATGCTGAGAGGGGGAGGAGGGGCAATGGACACCTTGATTGAATAATTGTCCTTATCAATAAGGCACCAAGGATGAATGAATTGCTGAGATACAAAACCAAACAAATCATGACACCAAAAAGAATATTCACCTGAAGGCTAAGTCCACATGTATTTTGGTTTTTTACTCTTGTTTGTAGTTCAGACAAACTAAGTTACATATATGGTGTCTTGAAGTGATGTGGTTAATGTGCACACAAGTTACCCTAGCAGCTTGTGCAGTCTGTACATATACCCTTTCACAGCTTGCATTCCCCAGCTGTGGCTATGATTGTAAAGCACTCCAACTTGGCATGTTCTTTTTATCACACTCAGTCACCCAAGCAGACTGCATCCAAAAGCTTGCAAAAGTCCCAACACCTCCTACCACTCAAGGTATCATAATCAAATGAGCCCTCCTGCTATCAAGCACCACTCTAGAGATGTGTTCTAGGATAGAATCATGATACAGTTGCTCTATCAGCAACCCCCCCCCCCCAAAAAAAAAAGAAAGGAATGGCAAGATGTGCTACAGCTACAAAGATCTATTGATCACAGATTCCACAAAAAGATATTGCTGAGAAGAAGGTGAAGAGGGATTTATATGGAAAGTATGAATGGTTTTACAAGAGACAATCAAAAAAAAAAAAGCAAAAGCGAAAGGAATAGCACAGCATGATAGGTATTTTGTATCGATGATGTTCATAAATAAATGAATATCCACCTGAATATGTATCCAGATGGGAAGAAGTACAAGAGAAGACTCCAACAAGAGACCTTTCAGAAGAGGTTTAGAGATGTAAAATGGACTCTACTTATTCATCACATTATATGTCGAACTGAAACACCAGAAGGGGATTTTTTTTGTTTTTCAAAACAGATTTGAGAAGTAATTTTTCCCATTGGGATGTTGATTTTGACCGGCAAGTTTCCGGCGTTTACTTTTAGAATGGTTGTTGTTGGAGGAATTACCATCGTCGTCATGATGACTATCACCATTGTGCGAATGCGATTGCTTCATGTATGCTAACGTCACTAGCTCTCTCATCACCTTTGGGCAAAAAACACATCCCCATGAAACAATCAATATCCTTTTCTTTTTGTTGTTGTTGTTGATGATGTGTGAGAGAGGAAAAAATTCCCAAACCTTTTCTAATTTTTCTTTCCGATCCTGTAGTTCGATTTGTTTCCGGACCTCTAGGTTTTCTCTTGCGAATGCCAAGGCTTCAGTACCTTCCAATCTCTTACCTAATCTTGAATTTAATTCATGAGGAAACTGATCAAGAAAAGGAAGGAAAAAAAAAATCTCATGAATCGCAAGAAAAACAGAGAAAATTCCTTTTGGGAAGAAGGAGGAAACAAGAGAGAGAAAAGAGAAAGCTTTGGGAGACTGACGGTGGAGAAGAATCGATGGAGGAGGTCAATGTTGATGAAATCAGTGGCAGTAGACGCGAGTCGATCGGCCAAGATGTTGAGAAAGATTTCAGGACAAAAGGTGGGAGTAGCAAGATTGCTTGTGCCCTGCAAGATGGGCGAAGAGGGATCGTTAGGCGAGGACCTTCCGCCCATTAAACCGATCGACGAAGACGAAGATGAGGATGATTTACATCGTTTACTCTTCAAGGCCAGTAATCGTAACCTTAGTATCTCCGATCGACTCTCCATATCTCTCAATCTTCTTGCTGAGAACAAATGAATGTATAAATAAGTAAGCAATGCGCCACTTAGACGATTTTTTTTTCTTTCTATTTAGATTAAACGTAGAGAAGAGATTGATTACCTCGATCGAGTAGAACCGGAGCTGGTCTAGTATCTTCGGTCTCTTCAAGAAGCTGCAAGTCTTGCTGGGCATTTGGGGAAGAATGAAAGCCGGAGAGTTTGATTTGAGCCAACTTCCTCATCTTCAACTCGTCCTCCTCGATCCGTTCGAGAGCTTCCCTGAGTCTCCAATTTTTCTTCAACTCTGATTTCTCTGCTTTCAAGAACTGATCACACATTCTAATCTCCTCCTCGACCAACTGTATCGACCGAATCCTGCCGACCTCCCAACCGGGTTTGTCAATCTCAATCTCGTATCTGAATGGCATCACCCCGATCTCCACATGGTCGGCCGCTCGAGCCTTGAGGCCCTCCAGGATATCATCAGTGATTTCCCGGATCTCCTCGCTGGTCTCGACATGATGTGTCATTGGTGGATGTTCGAGGAGTCGGCCGACAGCAGTCCGGATCTCGTCAGCTACCAGTTCTGCCGAACTCCTGCCGATCCCACCCTTCGTCAGCCGGGATTGAGCCGCCTCGAGTTTGTGGACCCAATATTGATCAAGTCCTTCTGATCCAAGTTTTGAATCACCCAGCTTCCCTAATTCATTCATCCGACGATCCGACCAATAAATCTCTGCCAAAAGCCCCATCACTCGTTGTTCAAGTTCATGCTTCAATAGTCCTCGAACCTCCGGCTTCACTAACATCCTGGAAAACTCGTTTAGTCTTCGCTTAACTAAATCCATCGACTCGGCCACATAGGTCTCTGCGGAAATGTTCCGATCGTTGTATTGAACTTTGTACTGGTAAGATGCTTCTTCAAGTTCCAATGAGACTCGGTTGGAGATGTCATGTAAGGAACTAGACATGGACTCTTCCAGGACTTTCATCAGTCGTGATTTCAATGTTTCCGTCCCCAGGAGGAGATTGGGTTGGTCATAATGATCAGCATGAGCTCTGAAGTAATCAAATTCGGCCTTGGCCAGTGCGAGCTGGGTAGAGTTGCCAGATGAGTTGCGCTTCAAAAGTCGGTTCTCAACAAATGAAGAGCCTGAACCACTAGTGCTACTCGGCTTGCAGATCACGCCAATATATCCTAACGCCAAACGGTACTTATCGTTTGCTAGGATCGCCGCACCGACGCTAGGATCGACCAGATCTAACTTGGTGACGACGCCAATGGTCCGATAGCCATGTGGATCGACCTTCTTACTTGCTCGTAAGGCAGGACTGTTGGCAAGATCCACATCAGCCGCACAAACCGAGAGAATGATATTGGGCTTCCTGATGTATTTGTCACACAACTGACTGATCCTTTCTCGAAGTTCTTCAGGTTGATCCATTGCACTGATCTGGACGTAACCTGGTAAATCGACTAAGCTTAGGTCGGGGACGTTGGGTGAATAGACTCTCATATGGATCGGCTGATCATCTACTGCAATCGAGTCCGGAACTTCTTGGTTTAGTCGAGTCAGTCGTCGTTGAACTTCTCGAAAGTCGTCAAATTGACCAGGTCCAAATTGAGCGCATTCCACGTAATCTTTGACATTTGGGTTAGAAGCCGATTGTGGGGTGTGGACTAGCGTCAACTCGAGCGGCCTGCGAGTGACCATATTGTTTCCTCTGTTGATCAAGTTAATAATGATAGGTTGTAAACGTCAATACAAGTTACATACAATCGATCAGGCAAGAGCAGGTACTAACTTGGGCAAAAACTCGTGACCAACAATAGCCTCGAGCACACTGCTTTTTCCACTACTTTGACTTCCAATGACGACGATGCTGGGGAGGACCAAACTTTCATCTTTGTCGATGCTCATCAGTAGAGACCTGATCTCGATCAGTTTTCGGGTGAGATGCATCAGACCAGCGGTTGCTTGATCCTTCTGAATTGGGCTGTCTCGATCGTCGTCTGAAGAGGCTGCCAAACCGATGGCCGATAGACTTGCCAAGCCGGTTTTGAGGTGATCACCATCTGGCCTATCATTTTTAGGGTCTTCTTCTTGGTTGGAATTCATCAGTCCTCTGAAGTTTGATAATAAGTCTGAGAGTCCATCTTCGATCGACGTTGAGACATTGATATATGTCGTGTTGGCTCCATTAGAAATATGCCCTATCGTCCGTCCTGCAGAACCAGCCAAATCTTTGATTGTCTCTGTAGTCTGGTCATACGTGTACGATACTTTCCCGATGAGGTTGGCTTTGAAGTCTGCAACCAACATAAAAGAAGATCAGTATGACTTTTCTTCAAAAAAAAAAAAAGTCGGAGATGAAAGGGAAAAGAATTCAATCTGATCTATACTGACTGAAATGATTTAGACTGACCGTCAATTTGACTTCCCGCATAAGCAGCCCCGCCCACGCCGACGGCACCCACGCCGACAACTCTACCGCCCGCCCTGGCGGCTACCCTGGTAGCCGCGGAGATAAAGCTCATCTGCCTGACTTGGATTCCTGGGAGCCGTGTGAGTGAGACGGGCTGAGAAGTTGAGATCATCCTTCTCGTAGAATGGGGCATGATTGAGCTTCTCGAGATTGAGAAGGAGTGTTGGTTGGAGGGCGAGAAGGATAAGTGGTTCGGTCGTAGGTTAGAGCTGTTTGAAGGTCGCAGGCCGTGACGGGAGGGAGTGAGCGGGTGGGATGTTCCATGTGGATGGGGTCGAGTGGTGATTGATCTTCTGAGTAGCATGGTGGAAGATGTTGAGAAGATGGTCAACAGGGAAACTTTTTATGATTAGTAGGAACCCTCGATGGGAAAACCAAGGGGGATTCAAGGGTAGGAGACTGTGAACGGCTGGTGAAAGACCGCTGCGAAGGATGACATACTGGTGAAACCTCTGTAAAACCTGGTGGATGCAATAAGCCAACCCACCCCAACACAGTTTGTTTGAGTAGCTCTGAGAAAGAAAAAAGCAATGACAACACAGCAACTATACTTCTTAACCGCAAATGTGAATGAAAATGATGAGATGTAGAAATAATTTGAAATTCCACAAAGAATCAGTTAGATCCAGGGTAAATCAGAAAAAAATTGAATTCTTGAGAAGAAAGAACTCAGAATAAACACACCTTAGGCTTCACAGACCATTCATATTTTCACCTTTTTTGTATTTTTAGAAATATGAACCAAAACCCAAAGAGTGCCATGAAAACAGAGAAAAAAGATGTTGATTCTATAGCAGAGGAAACAATGAAGAAAAACATAATCCATTCTATACATCATAATTATCACTGCTCAGTTAGAAACAATGTGAGCAATCAAAAATAGGGGTGAAGAGTTTTTTACTCCATGTAAATAGACATCAAATCTCTAAGAACATATGGAATTTGCACCCTGTCCATTGAACCCATCTTCAAGCTTCAGGGAGGAAATAATTAACCAAAAAAAACCAAAGTCTTTGAGCATGCTCATGTCCATGGATCCATCTAGATCTGCTCATCCACAGAAATATCCTTTGTGGGTTGTCCAATCTTGGTGATACATACACTCAGAAAGCTTTCCAGGACATATTGTTTGCTTCATTTGCAGTGAAAAGTTTGACTTTTTTTGGGGGACAAGTCTGCATGAAACCCATGACTGGTTTTTCAGGTGAAGCTTTTCAAGTTATTGAGGTTTAGATAATCATTTGATTTCCACAAAAAAAATCATTGGATCATTAAAGAGAGCCAAGCAACCTGGAAGACTTCCTGTTGATTTTACAGCCCCCTGTAAAGCTATTTTTACAAGCTGTAAAGCTGTTTCCAAGCAAAAATTTAGTTCTACAGCCTGTAAATCTCACTTGACAAGGCCTGTAGTAAAACCCACAGGAAGTCCTCCACTGAAGTGTTTTTTTTTGTTGTACCAGGAAAGTGCTCAATTGATTCCAGAGTTCCCAAATCATTCATTCAAGCCCATTTCTTGCTCTTATTTTTTGAGACAAATCTCAGGCAGAACATTCTTGTTAATGTAGTGGATGAACTCAGATTAACAAAAAATTGGTGACAGTTGACATGTAGCTTTTAGCCCCCCTATAACTTCTGCCATACTGTACCCTACTCCAATGTAAGAATTTGTGCACAGTCAGAGTGATTATGGATTGGAGTAAATGGATGAGTAACATCTGAGCAATGGTGCAACAGATACAAGACATGTATTGGTATCAGATCATATTGTCTTTATTTTGAGCCTGATACCAGTATCAGTATTTCCTTGGTTGGTGAGAAAATCCATTGTCTTGGATTTGGATTTACAAATGAAAAAAAAAATTGTCTTTGTTTTTTTTCTTCGATGCAGCCAAATATCTTGTGTATCAAAGATGTTTTTGGTGGGATCAGTCATCTGAGAGGATACAGAATACTTGTCTCACTGTCCAAAGACAATACATGTGTATTGTCTCATGATCAAAGTGAAAGTGAGACAACACAAATACAGTATTTTTGGGCATTCAAATTCTGAGACAATACAAATAACCGCCTGATACTGTCTTGTCTCTTCTCTGTTGCACTGTTGATCTGAGTAACAGCCCCACTTTGAGAAGAGAGTTTCAGCATGACAACAGGCAACAGTTGCCTAATAATTTTTCCCAGCGCATTAATGACTAACAACTCAAGAGCCCATTTTTCCTTCTTCTTTTTTTTTTTTTGGGGGGGGGGGAGGCTCCTGAAAATAAACAAACACATCTTCTGGCTAAATTTTGCCATGCACTCCAGAATATACCTTGACAAGTTGGAGGTTTGATCCGCGGCGGCCAGGATCTCCACCCAGTCTTGCTTCTCGGTGTTCCGCAAAGGAATCTATCTATCGCTCATGTATGCTGATCAGAGCGCTTTATAAACGGTGGGACTGTCTATGCAAATCGACCAGCATGGGATCTCTGGCTGCGCCTGTCTGCTGGAACGACCCGATCAAACCGATTGGATTAAATCTGTAAAAATTTTTGGCTGATTGGCTTTCATCGATTGTTGTATTAGATACAGCTGGGTCTTGTACAATTGTTTGTATGCATTGACCTCCCTTGGTCCATTCCTTGCGATAATGTTTCTCTGAGTGACTCTAACAGACCGCAGCATTCGTCGGAGGTTGCGTCTCTGCCTCTCCATGGAGACAATGGATGCGTAGAACAACACTGCTTTCCACCACTGGCAATTTTGAACAGAGCCCACGAGTGATGATTTCTTCTTTAGGAATGGGATGAGGATGCGGAGTGGATGATAGAGGCGATCGATCCGATAGCGTGACCCACGGATGCGCCTACGAGACAAGTGATAGGCCACGCCTACATTGCAAAGGGAGGAGTAGAGGAGCGGATTTGAAATCAGTTGAACGATTTATTCTCAGGGTTGAGCGAGTGTAGTTTTGAAGGATGAGAAGACAGACCTGCCAGGGCCGATCCCAGTCGAGCGGGATGGGGATAGCGCCTAGCCAAGTGCCGAAACAGGCGCCAAAAGCGGGGAAGAGGAGGGCGACTTCGACCTCGTTCTTGGGTCTGAAACAAAATCGAAAAAATCTCACCGTTTCAGGGCGGGCTTGTCTGAGAAAAGCTAAGAAGTATAGGCTGAGAGGGACATTACTGGAAGGCGGAGAAGATCCGGATCCAGTTGGGCTTCTCTCTAGCCTGGTTCCATCCGATCAAGAGCGAGGCCGGGAAGAAGCCCAGGAGGCCTAGGAAGCAGGCTAGGCCGAGGTTCTTGAACAGCTGTGACAGCGATGAGGCAGATGCACCAAGGAGCACGAGCAAGGCGGTGATGACTAGGAGGATGACGGTGTTGATGAGCAGGGCTTCCTTAAGCAGCTGTGAACGACCTAAAGTATGTCAGCTGGAGCCGTTCGTTCGTTCTTTTTTATTTTTTTATTTTTGGAAATTATTATGGAGAGATGAAGGGGATAGGGACTGACCAGGGTTGAACGGAAGATCAGCGAGCGCAGCTTCGGGTCTAGTTCTTTAGCCAGTCGTTTGGGGAACTCGGACGGAGGGGCACTGATGAGACTCAAGAAAAGCGTCTTGAGCTGTCTGGCCAATCGATGTTTATCGGGCAGCGGCTGGGATTTCTCGGAGGTGGAGGGCTCATGGGAAGCAGTTGGCCCGACGAGGGAGTTCCTCCAGGAACGGAGGAAGTTGGTGAACCACAACTGGACGAGTAGCGTGCCGAGGTTGATGACCAGTAGGGACCGAATCGGATGGTGGACGAGATGCTCGACGTTCAGCCCAATCATGGATCTTCCTCCTCCTGCTGCTGCTGCTGCTTGGCCATCCTCGGGACTGCTGATGATCTTGCCGGGCAGGTAGTAGATGGTGAAGTGGATGAAGAGCAAATGCAATGGGACGATCGAGTAGTACTTCGTCCGTAGGTTGATTGATGGTATTCGGGCTTCAGTCGGTTGTTCTGTGATTCCTTGTTTCTTGATGATGGCCTTCTGTTGTCCCTTGTTCCTTTGTTTCGTCATCGCTGGATTTCAAAAGCCTCGTTCTTGTCCGTCTTGGGTTGGTTCCTGTTGGTTCTCCACTGCCAGCCAGTCGGAGGACATCTGAGAAATGGAGGTTCATCATGCATGCCAAGACCAAGACAGATGCCACTTCGGCATTGGATGACGAAACTCCCGACCATGCACACCACCGGCCACATCTACTTCACTTCTGCAAGAGATGGAACATCACACCACTCTACCATCCCAACAATTATCTGCAATCCGTGTGACGCGTGTATGCTTTGTCTTACAAGGCATGAAACCCCGACACACGGGGTTCAGGGCTCTGCCCGAGTCCAGACGGGGTTTAGGACTCGGGATCAGGTTTTGCAAATCCCCGGAACCCCGGGGTTTTGATACATTATGGAGCAAACATTGTTAATTTGTTTTTCAATTCACACTGGCTTCAATTGTGTATTTCATGATATTTTCTGCTACTGCGTGTATGAGTATGTTTTTTTCTTGAGGAAAGAAAAAACAAACAAAGGAATGAGAGAAAGAAACCTGATTAAAATGGACCATCAAAGGTGTGGAACCAGTCTTTGAGACACAAGAGCCCCTCAATTGTGGTTGGCTTTAGAGAAGATTGCTCCATGAGAGAATGCAACAATCTGTAGAAAGAAGTTCCTCCAATGACAGGCTTGTTTCTGGGGCGGATAGGTAGTGCGAAGCCATCAAAAAGAGTTTGGGGAATGATTTCTGTTGGGCTGTCCAAAAAGAAAGTGCCTCAACATCTTTGTTCAAGTACTGTAGTGTTGAATTTTAGATTGTATCCCTTGAGTGTTTGGAGCTGGCTGATACAATGCTGATCAGAAAAAATTGAATATTATCAATTTCAATCTGATCCACATTGATAAACTTGTGGTCCGGATTCTTTGACCACTGTTTATGTTTCATCCCAGGGTACATAGTGCAAGTTATCAGCCAAGTCAGAGGGGATTTAGACTCTCTTGGAGAAAATAGATAATGCTGATTGAAGCCCCGGGATTTTGGGGTTTGAACCCTGAACCCTGAGGTCCATGCCTTGGGATGGGCTCCATCAGCGGTGGGCCGCTACGCTACGCTACGCTACGCTACGCTTTTGGCCCAAAAAGCGTAGCGTAGCGGCGCTTTTTTTGCGCCAAAATTTTGTAGTGTTAGCGCTTTTGTAGTGCATTTTCGCTACGCTACGCTGCGCTACAGCGCTTTTAGCGGAAAAAGCGGCTAAAAACCGCTAAAAACGGCTGTAGCGCAGCGTAGTGGGCCCTTTTTTGTGGCCCACACGCGTAGCGTTAGCGGGGTCGTGGCGGAATTCCGCTACGCTACGCTTAACGCTAACGGGAATTCCGCTGCGTTACGCTACACTAACCGCTACGGTTAGTGTAGCGGCCCACCGTTGGCTCCATGCCTAATTATCTTGTTCTATATAGATCTGGCCCCTGGGTATGAGAACAACTATTAATTTCTTGAGCTTGCCAACACAACTACTGAACTCATCCACAATTTTGTAGGTCTAGGATAGATGGTATAAAATGCTGATATATTTGTAAATTGTATGGACAATCCAAATGACACAGAGAATCACAAGGGGGGAGATACACCACAGTCCTCAACAATCACCTCTGACACTGTCTTGGGATTGCTGCAGTCCCAGACTGACTGCCAAGAGCCTCAATCTGCTGGACAATCTCAAACCCTTCGCTGACCTCACCAAAGGCAAGATGCTTCTCATCAAGCTACAAATGCACATCAAGAATCAGCCCAGTCAACTTCCCTTGAGCTTTGCCTTGAATCCATCAACAAGTGGACAATGCTGGGCAACACCTCAAAGCTTTGTGTGTAGTGGTACATAAGAATTCAGACAGTCAGGCATCCGGGTTTGCAGATTCATTGGACTTGAAATATGAATCCAAAATTCTCAGAGGCTTGGTTGATGGTGTCAACAAATGTTTCTCTAGAAGGGAAGTAAAGGAACTTTCCATTTTCTTTTTTGAAAGGATTGGAAACGACTACATATGCTGGCTTTCCCAGTCAGGAAGAGGTTCCAATCTTTGTGTTTCATGATTTAGGTTTCAGTGTTAGTTGCTGATCTTAACTTGAAAGCCTGGGACTCATAATTGATATGATTTTGAAGCCAAAGAAAAAAAAAACTTTTGTGGTACTGATAGGGGCTGGCCATCCTGGTTGTTGGTCAAAATATTCTCTTGGTCACACTGATGGTTCCATGTTGTTGGGAAAAGATAGGGCAACTTGGGGAAATGTGATTGGAATGGACTCAATAGTTATGAGTATGGCGTGCCACTTGTCATCAGGCATATATCAGTTCTGGTTGCTGCAGAGAAAGAGATTAATTTCCAGACCCAGACAATTATTGATGAACACACTTCAATTCATCATCTCTGTTCCAGCCTCAGATATGTATTTGTTGCAATTCTATTCCTTCAGCTGTTCCTATGAGAAGAAAAAAAAAACACCAGCTTGATATTACTCACATGAGATTGAGGGCTAATACCTACTACCATATGACATGAAAATTCAATTGCTCAGAATTCATCTTTCTGAAACTTCAATGTCACCAAAAGTTACCATCACCAAAACCCAGTTTTTTAGCCCAAAAGTGAAACAGATCTCTCCACGTTTTTCAATCATTGTTCAAAGGCAGAAAAGATGTTGATTTTTCTACACTGAATCTCACAGAAATGGCCCTTAGTGCATGTTTCACTTGACAGCAATGAGATCAAACCCATAAGGGACATCTAAATTTATTCAAAACAAAACAAAAAAACACCACATGGCAAACAAAAGAAAACCAAACATGACTCTGAATTCTATGATCTTGAAAACAATCTGACAAGCAATTGGATCACACTATTTTCTTTTTCTTTCCTCTCCCCCTTTTTTTTATAAAAAAAACAAAAAAACTGCAGTTGCTGTTGCCATTGAGGTCATAGAACAAAATACAAAACATTTCCTCTGACAGTCAAACTTCAACTACCTGCATGTTTTCTTACGTACATCAACAAACAAGAGCACACAATTTTTTTTTGTTTTGAGAGATAGAGTCTAATGAGAGAGGGAAGGTGAGACAGAGAGAGATGGAGACAAGAGGAGAAATAAATTAATTGGGGGCGACAGCAGTACTTGCTTTTTTGCTAAAAAGATTGAACAAGAAAAGTCATGAACAAATCAGTGCCCGCATTTGACTGATCTCCTTAAACAATTGGAGACCTAACATACCTTTGAAGTAAAGTGATTTTATCGCCAAGAGATAAGGCAATCCCTTGTGTTTTACTTCGGATTCTAACATGACCTTGAAGGACTCCATCGGCCTTCTCAATACTCAAATTGGCAAGAGCATCTTCACCTGATTGAACCAACAGCAAATAAAAAAACAAGGCCAACACGTCAAAGTTAAATTTAATCAACAGGTTGTTGATTGAGCCAAAAAAATAAGGAAAATTCTGTCAAGGATAATGATGACTTACCAAACAAGCTTCGGGCATACATATTAGCAGACAAGAAACCACAATCTCCCGATAGAGCAGCATCCGGTGTTAAACAAGACATATTTGTAGCAGCCATGATATGATCCAGATCTGATTTAAGAGAAGAGGGGGAAATCAATTCAGTTTGCATACTTATCAAGTGCTTGAACATACCATACTTCGGAACAGAAATGAAGAAGGGATTCGAAGTCAAAGGCAACATACATGTTCTTAAATCATCAATTGCAGTATTGACATTCACTTTATTCTCCCATTCGAATTCAGTCCACATGGATCTGAATTGGTTTTCATTACAGAAGGCAGGCTTGATATAATCAAGAATGTCAATATGAATGTCGTTCAGGACCACGCAGTGGCCGTCCGAAGTAGCAGGTCCATCATAGAAAATGTTTCCGAAGATCACGCCAGTCTCAGTCGAGGATACCTTGATGGTAGCTTTGATACTTTGGAAACTCATGGGTCCTAATGTATGCGGGATAGGTCGTTCGACTAGCTTCAGATCCCCGAGCGTGGCAAACTCGACCGTCAAGTTTTGTAGGGTTTCTGGTGTTTGATTGACGATGAGAACATCCAACATGATGTCGAATTGGTTGACGTTCACATATGCCTCCGCATAAACCGGATCAGAAAATCCAGTTAATTGAACAATCCTGCTCAGTTTGGATAAAAAGTCATTGGCAGTATCAAGATTACCGGTAGCTTGAGTCAAGTCGGCTTCATAGTCATCAATATAGCCATCGTTCTTCTTTGCAAACTGGCGAAAGTTGATCAAATCATCAGGTTGAACCGCAACGCTCTTCTTATCTTTGCCACGTTTCTCCGCCGCTTTCTTTTCTACGTGGGCGATCATTTGAGTATAAGCAGCTTGGGTGTCGTGGAGGAAGATGTCTTCAATCGGCTTGGATTTAGTTACTTCGGCAAGAGCTTGGAGACAAGTCGTGATCCGTTCGACGGAGTCCTCGTCAATCGGTACAGAAACAAACTGAGATTGACCGACACGAATCACAGAGGTCATCATCAACATAGCCTCGGCTCTTAGTTCATTGATCAAACTGCTGTTTTGAGAAAGTCCCACAAAGCGAAGGACTAGCTTGGTAAGCGCGGATGCCAAAACGGAACCGGTGTAGAAATCTCCACCGAGAATCAGAGCACGCAGAGGTGGTTTGGATTGAGCCTTGACTTTATTAAGACTAGCAGAGGCAGTGACAGAGAAGCTAGTCTCTGTTGCGTAGGTGCCATCTGCGAGGACTTTGGTGGTGGTTGTTTGGACTGGTTTCGAATTTCCACTCTCATCGGCTTGGGCCTCTGCCTCTGCCTCAGCTTCAGCGGCATCTAATAGACGTTGCTCAGAAGCGAGGATGGGGACCTCGCCGATAACCGTGCGTATCTGCTGTAAGGTTTCGAGCATATCTGATTCCCAAACATCATAGAGTCAGACTGAGCGATCCCAGAATATAGATAGCAGGCATCAAAATTTAGCGAACCTTCTTCGGTTGTGCAGTATTCACCCACAATCCATAAAGCTCCCCTGAACACTTTTCCGCTTTTGATGTCTCCAAACGTCTGTAGTAATTTTTTGATAATTGAAGAGCGAAGGTCCGGAAATTTTTCAACAACTTCTCGAACAAATGAAATCACGTCGACGGCCGCTGAATTGTTAGAGTCGCCCAAGAATTCCATCAATACATGCACAACATTTGAGGCAACTTCTGAAAATTTAATAGCGCATGTATGTATCGATTGAATTAACAACTGTCGATATTCCGCGTTCTAGAAAAATCAGAGCATGATAAGTATGTCGAACGTTTCACGTTTGTTTATGACATTAGAATGAGAGTACCTTTTCAAATGTTTCGCTCAACGTTTTGATCAATTCTTTTTTGAAAAACAGGACTACGTCCTCGACGTTACGGCTGCTGACCATATCCAGTGCTAAATTGGTTGCTTTCCTCCGCAAATCCATGTCAGGCCTGATAAGGGGATACCCGTCAGTATTAAAAATAAATGGATCAAGGTGGGCTGTGAACGCACGAAGAAAGAACACGGAGAAGATCCATGACCATATCATCCAAGACGTGCTCATGCTTGCTACGAAGAGCTTCTACCCGATCAAGAACAATCATCTTCACATTGTTGTCACTTTCTTTGACAATCAAATCTATGAAGCAGGCTGCAGCTGCCTTGACAGCGGCGGGATTTTGAGTGAGTGTCGTCAGAGTCATGGCGGCCTCGTATTTGACTGAGTGTGAAGAGGATTCTAGCAAATCGGAAATGATTCGGATGTATCGGACCTGGAGTAAACCCGTCGATCAAAGTAAGTATGAGAGCAAATGCATTAGATCAAGTGACATATGCATACCTTCATTCCACCGACGATCACTTTCAATTCTTCCTTGCCCCCCTCACCTTTACCTTCACGATCCTTTCGAATCAGTTCGATAACAGCTTGTTGCATCAATCCATCCATTGAAGATATCTGCTCGTAGATCTGAACCAAGTACTCGATGGCACGGACTGGACTAGTATTGACGAGCATGATGAATGCATTCCGTTTGCAGGTTAAATCTGATTCGGCAGTGAGAAAGGTTTGGACTAGCTCCGGGGCATCAGGGATCAGATAATCGAAAGCCTGATAGATCGAGTAGACCGCAAAGACGGCATTCTTTCGAACAAAGGAGTGGCGGTGTTCCTACAATAGAAAAACCGAAAGAAAAACAGGTTTTGTTAGGCAACAGTAAGTCATCAAGCGAAAGATATCGATAGGACAGTCAGGAAATGCATAAGTCGCCAATCACTCACCAGACAGGTCCGGATGGTTGGAACCAGTGGTTCCAGAAGTTCTGGTTCACGTAACTTTTGTACGAAACGAAGTGTGGCCCCACGAATGTATTCATTAGGATGCTGAAGATCATTACGAATTGCATTGCTAGAGAAATTAATCGCAAGAGTCCTCGATTAACAATCGCCCATCCCATTGCAACACGACTTCGAGAGAAGATGACCCACCAGACCAAAATCATCTCTTGTTTCAATTTCCCCGATTCGTCGTACTTTGGGCATACTTCCCAGTAGAAGTGAAGCATTTTCTTGATTTGTTTGTTGCGAGTTGGCAAGACGAATTGAATGATCGGCATCAACAGGGTTGGTTGAGAGTTTCCATTCAAGGTGGAGACGATGATGCGTCTGAGGGTCTCGAGTTTGACTTCATCGGTACCCTTCTCGAGAGCTGCTCTGAGGTCTTGAGCGCCATACTGATCCTGGGCATTATCATGTACCAACGTGTAACAGATCTGAGATGCACTACTCATGTTGAAGGCTAGAAAAAAAAAGGCTTGACCTCTTGAGCATTTCATAAAATGAGACCGGGAAGAGAGAAGTCCAACATGATCACTACTTACTTGTATTAGCAACGGCTCAGAATATGATCGATCGATAGTCCTCTTGACTGGTGTGACCGTCGATCGTTGTGATCAAAGCTGTATATGCCTCTGATTCCTATGTCTCAGTCTGGGTTGTGGAAGGTGGATATCTATCTGGATGGACGAGTTGAGATGTGGTGTGAAGGTGTGGGTTGATGGTGGGTGATTGTTTGTGAATTAACAGTGATGGTCAACAGGAATGGTCAACAAGAGTGTGGTCAACAAGAACGGCGGTGGTGGTGATCTGGAGGGTGTGACACTTGCGACCGGGACATTCGAGGGTCGTCGTCATCTCGTCTTCCACCGACGCCCTTCAACCAGACCTGCAACGACCAGTCAACCACAACCACCTATTTATAAGAATGACTCTGCTCAACAAAACACCAACAACTCATAGCTTCGCATCTTCTGCCCGGCTTCAAGTTTCAACGCACATGATCATTTACCTCTTGTTGGGTACCACTACACAGTCTTCCGTTTGAGGTCTAATTTGGATTGAAACAACACTCTAACCTGAAGATGGATGAAATGTTGACATGAAAAAACTTCACTTCATCCATGATCAAGTGGGTTAACCAATCAAATTGATTGGAGAAGTTGGTTCTTAGTAGCACATTCTGTTCCTTGAGGGTTGTATGTGCCATGATCAAAAAAGTGTTGCAGGGTGAAACTGGGTAATTAAACTGATTAGAAAGATGGAAGATGTGTTACTATCACATATTTGGGGGGTGTATTGACACCAATGAGAAGACTTTTCTGGTCCTCTTGAAAACCATGAGTCTGGTCAATCATTAATGCAACATCATCCCAAGCACCAATCTCTCTCAAAGTTTTTGGTTTGAGCTGACGCACTAGGATTTATGTATTAGGTTGTCTTTGGGGCTTTGACCTCCGATTGAGAAAGATTGATTGTTTCGAGAGGAATAATGGGTCTTGGTTTCAAGAAGCACAAGTTCTCCTGTGCACATCGTCACGTTCTCAAATTTTTCTCTGTTGATATAGGATATAATTGGGGACAAGAGATCTGCCAAGTTTTTCAGTAGTAGATAATTTACAAAAGAAGTTGTTGCATATTTACATTATGTTTTATGAACAATATATATATAAAAATCTTTACAACGAAATCCCGGTGATAGGGCTGAAAAAAAAAGAGTGAAAAAGAAGAAGATAAAAAAGAAGAAATAATTGACGATGTCTCTCAAAGCTGGGAGACACCAAAGACGACGACTGCGACCAACGATAACATGTATTTTTGGGCTTCGAGGGTGATGATAGCGTTTGAAGTGACCTTTTGTTCAGGTTCGGTCTGATTGGAGGGAGCAGATGGGGTGTCTGGTTCACTGATACTTTGAACAGGAGTAATTGGTGCTGCTTCACCGGTGCTTTGAACAGGAGCAATTGGTGCTGCTTCACTCATGCTTGGGACGGGAGCAATTGGTGCTGTAGGGCTATCGGGTTGACTCTGGGCTTGATACTGGGACTTGGGGGGCGTCGTGGGGACACTGGAATCATTTGCTACCCGGCTCGAGACCGGGGGCGATTGGGGTACTTGAGCTTGCGAGGGGGTCGATGCGGACGGGGCTGGGCTGTTGATGAAAGACCCATCAACAGAGGATTTGAAATCTAAAAAAATTGAAGAGTCAGGTCACAATTACAGTCGGGCACACTAGATAGAGCGTTCAAGCTTACAGCTACCGGCGACCACTTGGTTGGTAAGCTTAGTTTTCGCCATAAATCCTTGGAAATCGAACGCTCCGGAGAGAGCAGAGGCCATCTGAGGGTTTTGCTTTAAAAGGTTGTCTAGGCCCGGGTCTTGAAATACGAAGAGGATATATTCATTCGTTCCTGAACCTGGGTTAGGGTTTGGCGACTTGTATTTTACGATTGGCTAGAGGGGCGAAACAGAGTCAGGATGAGTACGCCAATTAGGAGGATTGAAGGTTTGAACTTACCGGGGTGGATGATGACATAAGTCCCGTGTTTCCGTCAATCTTGACAGAAGACTGGAGCCACATCAAGTCCATGGTTTTGCTTTTCTGTCGGTATTCTAATCCGACAACCACATACGCCTTTTTGAACGATTGAGCATCGCTTGAGATGAATGATAAGGATAAGAATGGCTGCGCGGCGACTTTAGTGGGTGACATTTGTTGAGCGCCACCGATGGTAACGTCGCCATATTTGACAGAGAGGGCGGCCTTGGGTGAAAAATCAGGAAACAACTGAAAAGGAAAGCAAAGATTGGTATGAGCACCGCGAAAATGTAAGCCGTGATGAAACCTTGAGATGATGATGCTCACCTGAGGAATGATTGAGCTGCCGCCAAAGGCTGCCTTCATGGCACAAGCAGCTTGTGCAGCGTCGCTTGTCGCCGATTCGCACTGTTCTTGTCGCGAAACAATTGTTCTGGAAGTTGCCATCTGGGCAGCCATTGTTAAGCCAAAGGCTGATTTTACTAATGAGGTCCACATTTTTGATAGGGGAATAGGAAGTTGGATTTGGTGGTACTGTCGTCGGTATCAGAGTCTACTGTGATTTGTTCAAGTCGTATAGTAAAACTGAGAGGAGATCGGATGTGACTGTGATCGTGTGGTTTTCAGAAGCTGATGGGGAGAAGAGGAAAGGTTGGGAAACTCGAGCGCTTATATAGCAAAAGTCAGCTAAAGCTACAAGGGCTTTTGACCAGAATCCTGACGCAATGACCGGAATTCATCCAAGTTGGTTCCAAACCTCTGGAATTGAGCCTGGGATGACATTGGACTGCAGTCTGAGGGTAGTGCGTTGGCCCATTCGTAGAGAAACTACCGCTCAGAATGCCTTGGCAAGTCTTCGAGATCTCACATTTGGTGGACCAGGGTTAGCTCCCTCTGGGTGGAACTGGACGGAATGGAATGGCTTCACCATAAGAATTGGATACAACATGAGATGATTTCTTTTTGTCCAAATGTGTCAAGCTGATGGAGCTTGAATCTGGCCGTGTCCCCATCTCAACCGGCAACCTCTAGTTCGATCGGGGCCCGTTCGGAGACGCGTACCAGGCGGTATGCCACGCTGGCGAGCGACTCAAGGGCCGGTACCGTGGGATTCAATTTTGAAAAATGTGGATTCTTTATGCCTTCTACGTCGCAGAATTGCACAAGAAGTGGAGGGATCTAACACATTTAAGATTCTTCACTTTTATGCTAATAACTGGCCCTTCTGGTGATGGTCAATGTTGATGGAACCAACATTGGAGAGACGGAATCTAGAAAATTGGATTTGATCGGAGCGGGAGGGCCTGGCGTCACCGTCGGGAGCCTCACCGGTGGGGAGGCTTCAGCTTTGGCGACTTGGCCGGCAGATAGTTGATGCGGGGGCAGTAGAGACACTCTCGGGTGCTGCCACTTCGGGGACCCCGTCCCCGGTCGCAGAGGCTCGATACCACTGGCCACTGGCTCTTGTCATCAACAGCACCCCCTTCTCCTTGGGATTCTTCTTGGGATTACTATTTTGATAAACCAATGTGAGTTCAAGCCCAGACAGTCTCTCTATGATTCCAGCTCGAGCGTAATGAGCTTGTCCTTCTCTGACTTGGGCGCATGTACTGTGAAAAAATTGACTGACATCCAATAGGTCATCCTCCAGTCGTAGATCATTCTACGATCCAAAACAACCAAGACTCTTAACCGAACACGAGATCGCCCAGTTGAGCCCCGCCGAATGCGATGCCGCCTGTCTGCAGGTCGATCAGATCTTGGTCAATATTCTGCAAAGTCAGTCCCCTCTCTAAAGCCCCCCGTTTGTTTCTCGGTTGTTTGTTTGCGTTTCAGCTTTTCTGATTGTTAAATTTGAACTACTGGATAAATGCTCGGTTGTCTAGATATTGATGCCGATTTTGGGAAAAGTCATCGGATCATAACCGACAAGATCTTGCCCGATCTCGAACGCTATGGCGAGGCGAGTAAGGGTATTTGGGAGGGTTTAAAGGTAGATTACAAACCTATTCCAACATCTCCATATATTTGCCTTGGTTTATTGCTTGCGCGGTTCTCTTACCTGAGTAAAAATAATTCGACCTGGTAGTTTTGGCAAGGATTTTTCGAGTCTTCGGCGAACGTTAAGCTTTCTGGAAATAACGATGAATCGGAGGCAGCCTCAACAGTTGTTGATCAGTCCCATCAATCAGAAGACAATTCGATCGAGACAGTTCAACCAGATGAGCAAAATGATGATTATAACTCACGGGCGGATCTCACGGCACCCGACTCGCCCTTCGAGAACTTGAAAGAAGATCTTCGACAGAACCTCGGCATCCCGCCCAAATCTTCTGCCGCTCCGGCGGCCCAGCAGCCCGATGAGAGCCAGCAGACCGGTTCGAGTGGCAGTCTTCGACGGCCACCCCATTGGCACGATCTCAGCATGGACTCACCCGACGTGACCCTACAGATGCCTGTTCCGAAAGACCTTTCGATGCTCATTGACGGACAATCTGGTGTCTCGCTCGACTCCGACATCTCCATGTCTTCATACGCCGCGGATGAACCCGAGCCGCATGAACAAGAGACAAGCAAAGAAGCCGACCCCAGCCACTCCCACACCCGCAAGAGTACCGGGCGTGGTTCTAAGATCCTTTTACATCAAGCCCTCCTCCGAGATACGATGAGTGGCAACCACAAGCGCCAAACGATCAGCACCCCAGCCAAATCGCGATCTCGTCGTGGCTCTACGCTTGCCAGTTTGCCGCCTGAAGCCGCTGAACCTGGATGGGACGGAATTACGGACTTGCGAAAGGTGAATCTGGATGGTTTCGCAGGCTCCTCTAAGATGGCTTCTCGACCGTTTCGTCTGAGTGGAGAATACGCTGGAGATGCCTCCCAGGAACAGACCGAGGAATCACTTCGGGCCGGGATCTCACCACCTCAGACGATCCATTTCTCGGTCCCGAGATCGAAACTTGCTCAGACACCATCCAAGGAAGCCGCACGACTTGTGACTCGGGACGTCTTGGAAACTGCACGTCTGCGCGCAGGATATGCGAATCCAACTGATCTGGAAGACAGTCCGCCACTCGAACCTCCTAGTGTTTTGAGAGAATGGAAGCAACGTGGGTACGAGTCGTTGTTCAAGCCCCAAGCCGATGAGGAAGCTCAGCCGAGTACCTCAAAGTCGATCGCCTCAGCAGCTGAGGGAGTATCAGATGCCGGGCCCTCTCGAGACATGTCTGTGTCCCGAGCACTGATCGATCTTCGAGAGGGGGACACAGGGTCCAGCCGAGGCTCTACACGGAACTCACAACGACCCGACAGAGACGACCCGTTCAACGAGCCTTCGACGAACAAGCCGCGGTCGGGCCACTCGTCGAACTTTGCGGGTCCATCGAGCCGGGGACACCAGCTCCGATCGATGGCCATGGACGATTCAATGGACAGTCCGCCGGACTCGCCCACCCTCTTCGGCATCCGCCGCGACTCCAAACTTCCCCTCCGGCCCACCCAGGACTCCGTTCCTGCTGACCCCGCTCGCCCTCACAACTCCAGACCGGCCGGCTCGCAGACTTTTGTGCCCATGCGACCCGAAGAGATCGATACCTTCTTTGGCGGTAATCTCCTGGAAAGTGAATGCTTTGAACCTAGTCCTTTGCAAGGTAAAAGGGTTCGATACACCGATCCAAAAGATCCTTGATTGGCTGCATCTTCTTTCTCCTCATCCTCCTGTGTTTGTTTCTTCTCCTTTTGTAATCTGATCAGATCCTCTTCGGAAAGCACTCTTGTGTCTCATTTAGCACTATTGCCTTGAGAAAGAAAAAATAACAACATAGATTTCTGCAAGCAGGATGGAGAAATGCACTTCCCACCTGGATCTTCAGGTCCAAGTTTTTACAAGGTTCCGTTTAGAAAAACATAAGACCGAGCTAAGGAATCCTTGATGTCAGGGACCGCATTCAAAAATCTTGAATGCTCTGGACTTGAAGAAATGAGCTTGCATGGCCGCATAGAGCTCGGAGTCGGACCGGCACCCGACATCCAAGCCCCCCTTGAGACCCCTCGGGCCTCGACAGAAGCTTGACCCCTCCCAGGCTTCTGAATTTTTTTCTGAGGGCAAAAGTTGTTGGCGCGGCCCAAAAGACAAACATCAGGAAGACAAGACTCCAGAGGAAAGATGAAGACGATAATCAACCAACTAAGCCCGGCGGCCAGAAGCCTCAACAGACTTCAAGGACTACCATCCTGCAGTGGTCTTCGATCGGGTGCTCTTGGACGAGGATTTGCGAGCTCAAGTCTATCAAGACAATCTGATCAGGACGACAAACGACCCGTCTTTTTCGTGAGTTGACCCATTCCTTCTTGCTCTCCTTTCCGAGATTTTTCGGGATAACTAACCGTCCCTGATCATTGGCTTCGATTTTTTTTTCGCTTTCGTCTGTGTAGAAAGTCTCGGCTGGCGGCAAAGAGCTTGGAACCATCAAATTCAAGGTTCAGCTTGTTTCAATCACGCCTCATTTTTTTTTTAAAAAAAAAACAAGACGATTGATTCTTGGTATCTTGTGTCCACCTCAAAAAAAAAAAACGACAGTTGTACGATGCAGAGGTCCCAAAGACGTGCAAGAACTTTCGCGAGTTGAGCAAAGGATTCCCCAATCCGGAGAACAAGACAACCGGGATAGACTCTTATAAGGGCGGCAAGTTCCACCGAATCATCCCCTCCTTCATGATCCAAGTTGAGCACATTTTAATCATATGTCAAATTCATGCCGATCGTTCTTACTGACTCATCGCGGCTTTGACTCACTTGGACACTTGTCTCTTGCCATAGGGAGGTGATATCACTCGTCATAATGGCTCCGGTGGCCGATCTATATACGGTAACAGGTTTGCGTCTAATGTCTCTTGACCGCAGATTAATAGAGAACAGAGGATAACTAGGATAACTAACCATTTGTGGGGGGGGGGGGATAAAAACTTCAGGTTTGATGATGAAAACTTCATCCATAAACACTCCAAACCAGGTACGAGTCAATGAGTTTATCATCGTCCTCACTTGTCAGCGCTCGGTGGTGTTGGCTGACGCAACGGGCAACTTCCCTTTTCTTGGTAGGGCTATTGTCGATGGCCAATGCTGGCGCAAACACCAATGGTTCACAGGTAAACGAGAGAGTTATGATCTGCCGACCCAGAAACATCGACTGATCTGGCATTCTTCCCCTCCGACTTGCCCTAATATTTTGGACGACGACAGTTTTTCATCACGACTGAAGTGACCAGTTGGGTGAGTGTCTTCCGCTCCTTCGCCATCTCCTTTTACTCTCCAACCAACCTGCATGATCAAAGCTGAGACTGGGCTGACTCTCGATGTCCGTTCGTAGCTCGATGGCAAGCATGTCGTCTTTGGAGAGGTCAGCGAAGGCTTCGAGGTCGTCAAGCAGATCGAGGCCCTCGGCAGTCAGTCCGGCAAGCCCAAGACCGAGGTGATCGTCGAGGACTGTGGTGTTCTCGAAGAATCCTCGAAATGATTCACTCTACAGTATATCCCTGCTGCCCGCACTTCTTTGTGCTCTTTGCATTGCTCATAGAAACATAACCCCAGTCCCCCACAACTTATACCATACATTAAAAGATCGGAAAAGTTGTGCTTGAGTTGATTACTTGTGTTGCTAAACTCGAAAAAATAGCCAATACCCAAAAGAACATAAAGCATCACATGCATTGCTGTTCATTGTTCTGGCCCATGATAGACTAGTGTGATGAGGCTCTGCAGCAACATATCTTGATGTGTTTTGTGTTTTATTTTGAAAAGTTGTGTGATTCTACTTGAAAACAGGCAATGAAGTTCATGATTTTGAACTTTGATTTGCAAATTTGTCAGAGAGGCTCAAGCACAATCTCAGTATAAGCATATTTTGTGCCTGCAAAATTGAAATACAAATAAAAAACACAGAAAGATCAACAAGATGGTAGAGACCAAGAAAAAGGCTACAATTGTCAGCTGCCTCTATGCCACTAACCTGATGGTTGTGCTCTGAGTGTTAACAAGAAAGGTGAAGAGTAAGGTTTATTGGGGGTTAAATCCCCCTACTTTTTTAGAGGTGTAAAGTGTTATGGTATCATTCATTTTACCCAAAGATCAAATCTTCAATTGCAATATATGAGCTTACCCTGTTTCTTGCATAATTTGTACCATATACCAATTCCATTTTTATGCAATATGAATAAAACCATCAGTGTTTGAACATTTCAAAATGTGGGGAATGAATTTAAAATTCCAAAAGATAATGAAAATTAAGCCTGAAAGAATCATTTACAAAAAAAACATGTTGAATGCAATATTCAAGAAAAAGTTTTCATTTTGATGCAAAATGATTATTACCGTAATTTTATAAATGTCTGAAAGTGTAGGAAAAAAAATTAAAATGTCAAAAAGGTAATGAAAATTAAGCTGTAAAAAATTAATTGAAAGAAGTGTCTAATTGCAGTATTGAGAATGAACCTTTGAGTTTTATGGAAGATGGTTTTTACCATTAAATTCTACACACTTTAAAATATTGGAAATAAATTTAAAATTCCAAAAAATGATAAAAAATAAGTGTTAAAAAATTAATTATAAAAACGTGTCCAAACGTGATCAGTAAGGTTCTCTTTGAACCTTGGGGCTCTTGAGAGGCAGGTTGCAAGCCCAACCCCTTGGTTGTGCTGCCTGCCAATCAAGAAATGGGTTCTTGATTGGCAGGCAGAGGTTCACGCC